CGAGTCTGCTGCCGGAGGACAAAGTGCATATGAAGCAGAGGCGTGTCCAGAGGATGGTACCCGCCCCCTATGACATCATCATTAATAAGAAGAGTCTCCCCGGGGGTGAAGCGTCGGGTCCTCACCCCAGTCGCAGTGTGTAGGATTCCTCTACAGTCTGATAGTTATAGAACACCTCCAATTTGATTGTACATTCTGTGCCGGGATCCGGGGTGAAGGTGACGGAGGATGTACAGTCACCGCCATCTTGTATGTTCTCTATTCCTTCATCAACATTAAACATTCCATTATACCAGGTGAACTCCGCACTGTCCGCCTGACATTCTTCAATGTACGCTACAAGAGTCACCTCCTCCCCCACCCGGGGGCGCTCCGTCACACATCTGATCTCCCGTATACCAAACTTCTTCTCCGGACCTGTGGGGGGGGGGAAGAACAATGTCATTAATGGTGACCCGGCAATGGCGTGTGCAGGACAGACAACAGGTTCTCTTCAATGTCCTCCTTCCCCAGCAGAACATACTCACCTTTCCTTCACCCCTCCCCCACTACTCTGTTCAACCACTTCCAGGTATGGAGGAGCATGTGACGCACTCCATGTGACTGTACTGGGCCAATCACCAGAGCTGTCACATGGGGAGAGGCCTCAGCCAGTGTATACTATGACTTGAGGCCTCTCCTGCTGCTTATTAAGTGGGGGAGGCGAGAGAAGGTGAGCATGATGTCATTGCCCCAGACAGCTGATGCAGTGGCACTGAGAGCGGTCACACAGCCCGTGCAATAACACTGACGGGGTATTGTAATTCCTCCCTGCAATGGGGGGGGGAGGGGTGTATTGTACTTGGGACGTTGGGGCATTTGTTATACGCAGTGTATTCCAGATGCTGATGAAATCACTTACAATGGATGCAATGGAACCACTGAAAGTGTTTGGGGAAAAATTTAAAGAAATCCTTTTCTTGTTGATGTCTTTTGGTTTCATCCGAACAGATTATTGAAAACACGATTGAAAATGTAAAACAACATTAAAGAGGAACTCCTGGGTGTAGAAATATTAACCCTCCCAGTGGGCCCCTCCTCCCTCGGGCCCCCTTGTACTACAAGGGTTAATCCTTGGAGTTCTTCTTTAACCAATCCTATTCCTGCAGTGCCTGAGAGATGTGCAGGAGCTCACTGCATTGGAGCTGCTCTGTGTGCTATGTCTGTGTGCTGTTTTTATAAGCCCTCTGCCCGAACCCCTCTGTCCCAGCTCCCCTATCCCAGCTCCTGTCCCGGCTCCCCTGTCCCGGCTCCCCTGTCTCGGCTCCCCTGTCTCGGCTCCCCTGTCTCGGCTCCCCTGTCTCGGCTCCCCTGTCTCGGCTCCCCTGTCTCGGCTCCCCTGTCTCGGCTCCCCTGTCTCGGCTCCCCTGTCCCGGCCCCACTGTCCCGGCTCCCCTGTCTCGGCTCCGATCTCTCTGTGCTGAGATTTGTTGGGATGATTTGTAGATCAGAGGAGTGATCAGGATACAACAACTATGATTTGTGACAACTGATCCCATTTATTTGGGAGTTTGTATGGGGTGATGAGGTCCTCTCCATGTGTTGTCTCCCCGTCCATCATTTATAGATGATTGATCGATGGATCGGTTCCGGTATCGGAGACGGGGAGGACATGGTTTGGAATGGTTGGTTTCTATCCCCTGTGCTCGGTGTGTATTATGAAGTGCTGAGCTCGGGGTGTTGGGATCTCTCTTCATAGTTATAGGATCTTCTCTGGTTTATCTTATGTTAGGACACGTTTCCTCTCCTCATATTCCATATTTTCTGTCTTTATATCATTATATTATTTATTCATATTTACCTAAAGTCATATTTTATATAATATTTATCCTGACCATAATACAGAAATAGAAGAAAGAAAGATTTCCATTCAGTCATTATCCGGAGGATTTGTTCTTACCGGTTTTCTGTGCGGCTTTTGTCGTGTCAGAACTCTCTATAAAACAAACAAGAGAAATCTTCAATATCAGGAAATATCAATATGTATCAATCAGATCGATCGGCATCAGAGACCCCAACATCACAGAGCTCACATCCACCCCAAATCAATCCCATTCACCTCACTGCCCTCAGTGTCCCAGTGCTGATACATGTATGGGGACCTGTGAGCTGGTCACAGTCTGGGGGTCGCAGGGAAATGATATGAAGCTGAACTCAAATAATGAAGATTTCCAGTGCCACAGTGCCCTGAAAATCCACCTTTTACCTTGAATTCCACTAGATGAACAACAGTGCACTTCCTGTGCCTGGGCTCTCCTGATATCAGTGCACTTTCTGTGCCTAGGCACTCCTGATATCAGTATATTTCCTGTGTCTCTGCTTTTCTTTATCCTCATGGCTGTATATCTGCAGTGTGCGATCATCTAAGGTGCTGCTGCCTCTGACTGCCGGTCTCACCGGATTTGGAATAAGGTTTGATGATGTCACTGTGCTGATCACTGTTCTCCTTGCTGGAGAGGAAGCTGGATCTGAGGACCTGCAGTGCAAGGATCTCCCTGCTTCTCCTTCATTCATTCTGGTGATCTGTGCTTCCTCCACCTCTATTATTACCCCACCCGTCATCAGGGGGCAGCTTTGACATTAGGAAGCAAAGCCCTGCTCCTCTACCAAGATGGCCGCCTTCATACAGAGACCCCGCGCAGAACTATGATAAGTCATTAACGGGAAAATATCAGTGCGGGGAGACCACAAGCAATACTGGTTTCCTGCTTCCACAGTACAAGTCCTCTGTAGGAGAACCTTCCACCAACTATTATTGTTCCCTCCTGTGTTCAGCGGCACTGCTCCCCTCCTCCCTCCCATCTTCATTCACTTCAACAGGATCATTCAGTTCAGCCAGACATTTGTGTTCATGAATTCACCGCCTAATCCTATTGGCTAATGGTGGTCGGATATACATGGCTATGGGAGCTCCCTGATAGGTCTCTGGGCATCCCTATCCCTGGACTCCTCTAATGAATGACATATAAACACATCCCCCATACAGAGCTGGATACTAATACTCGGAGATCTCACCTTTCAGGTTCAGAGTGTATCTCTTCTCTCGGACATTCCTGTTGTGCGTCACCTCAAATCGGATGGACGTCCCATGATCACTCGTCCCCGGGATGAATGTCACCGTGCTGGAACATTTATACAGATTGTCCGATCCGATCTCTGGTTCCGACATTGTCACCTGGGCTTGGGGAAATGTGCTGAACTCCTTATACCATTTTATTTGTAGGTCTCGGGGGGAGAATCCGGATAACGTTACTTGGAATGAGGCTTCCTGATTGGCTCTCACTCCCGCTGGACGCACAATAATGTCCGATAATGTGGGCGGCCTCTCTGTAATGATAAATACAGATAAATGTTTGTTATTCTGTGTGTGTGGAGTGCAGACGGAGAGAGAGGTTGGAAGATTCAGGTCATCAGTGATTTTACATGACCGCACTCACATATGGCTCCCATAGAAGGATAAAGTCAGATCATCGGAGAAGACCGATTGAGGAATACAGAAGAAAATTGCCAATGAGGCTCCGGACTGGGATCTTTCTTGACATGTTCAGAGAAGGTGGGGGGAATCACTGCTTGGGCTTAGGTTAGGCAGCTCTTCTGCAGGAATTGGGAGACCCCCTAGGGGAGGGGCTAGGAACCGAATCAAGAAATCCAAATGTAATGGGTAGAATGAGAGCACCAGACAAAGAAAACCTTTAAATCACTCCACTGATGACAGAAAAAACATCAGTAGATGACCAATGCATTTCAGGGGCTACAATTCCCCCCTTCATCAGGGCTGAATGGAGATAATAAAGTTTTGGATGGAGTCAAATGATGGCTTCTAAGCTGATGGCATTTAAAGGTGAAAACATTGATTGGTCAGTAATAACGCCATCAAGGGCGGTCATATCAGAAAGCAAATTTGACATCAGCATCCACGTTGTGAAACATCCGGCTACCTGACCAGAGCTAGTGAAATGGCAAACGAGCCAGAAAACAGAGAGAAGAAGGGTGGAAGAAGGGTAAGTAGGATGCAGGACATGTGTGTGGTGAAGTGGGCCAAACCCACTACGTGGTCCCCAGTGTGGCAAAGGCCACAGAAGAATTTGTGTGTCCATAAAGTGAACCCAGAGGCTCCATAATGTATTATTCTAGTCTCGGATATCATGGAGGTAGGCTATCAGATTCTCCATCCTCACTAGCAGGCTTAGCTTTGTGACCCAACCTTTAATCTGAGGGATAATGTGGGGCATCCATTGCCTAGGGGTTATAGTGCTCATAGCAGAAATAAAACACAGAGCAAGGTCCCAGAGATTGTAGTGTAAGGTCCCCAATAGAAGGGTTGACCTTGCTATCCGGGGAGTACAAGACATGCTGATCCCTGTGACATGACACCTGGAGGGAGCCAGAAACATATGTAGTTCATGTGGGCTTTTATACCAACAAGTCAATATTTAGTTCCCTTTTCATGGGCTGCAATCAATCTAGTGACTGAGGGTGCATGCTTTCACAATCCTCTGGGGTCAGGCGGTCCCCCTAGTTTCCTGCTCCCATACAGCAAAGTAATATGGCTGAGAAGTATATTTCAAATTGAGCAGAGGGTCATAGAATAGGGAAATCACATGAGCTGGTCCTGTTGTGTTTGACAAAGTAGTTTGAAGGGGGAGCAGGGGCCACGGAGAGGCACCAGCTTATGTAGCGGACATTTTAAAGGTGTTGGAGCCAGCTACCTACCTGTGAAGGGCAGAGTGTGAAGAGGTCCAGGACCATCAGATGTTAGAGCCTGATAGATGGAAGAGGGCTCGTACCGAGTCCACTGGAAAAGTGTTGCATTCTTAGAGCCTGAAGGAAAGGCTGGATTGCCCATGATTGAGTCCAATATATGAGGAAATGTTCAGTGACGGAAGAGTGCACCCCAAGTCTCCTTCTGCCAGCATATTGGATATATATGGCAACCTGGTGGGGGGGCCTTAATATAGGAGTCAATAGGGCTCCGCTGTTGTTTGCTGGGAGTGCTCTAACTGCAAGCTCCCAGCACAATGACCTTACACATTGACCATAAAGAATCAGGAGCTGGCAGGTCAGGCTCCCTTCATGTGACCTCTGTGACAGCCAATCACACAGTGTCACATGATCAAGACATGTCGCCCCCCCCTACCAATGTTAGGACCCAATTAAAGGCCTGGCTGAAGGTAGGGCAAGAGGTTAAAGAGAAGAAAGACATAATGGTAAAGAATGAGAATGGGATCAATCAGGTGGGGGGAGCCAAGCAAGAGGATATGGGGTGACCCAAAATTTGTGATCCTCTACAAAGAAGCAGTCACATATATGGAGAAGCGAGGAGTACTTGGTAGTAGAGCTCAAAGTTTGGAAGGCCAGCTCTACCCTCCCTGACTAAGATGTTGTAGCGCAATCTGCGGCCCCTTCCAGTCCCAGATGTATTTAGAGAGAGCAGTTCATATCTGGTGGAAGAAAGACCTGGGGACACACATGAGCACCATCTGGAATAAATAATGCCCATGTTACATAGTTACATAGTTACATAGTATTTGAAGTTGAATAAAGACATTAGTCCATCAAGTGCAACCTATTAGGATCTCATTCTAGGAGTACCTGTACCCCTGTATATTACCTGTACCCCTGTATATTACCTGTACCCCTGTATATTACCTGTACCCCTGTATGTTACAGACTGAAGTCCTCCCAAACCAGGACTGGAGAAGTATAGAGTAGACCTCTAATGCCTGAAGAATTATCAGAAGGGTGGGGAGGGGTAGTTTATTTTTTGACTTCGGCAGAGTCAGTGGAGGGGATTCCTAAGAATTTCAGAGATTTTTATTGCCAGGATAAGAGGAACTGACATAGTAGCACTTGCTTCAACCCGTAGTCGGGTTCCTCTGACTTAAAGAAATGAACCTTAAATTACAGACAAGCCCAAATTCCTGAATTTTTAGTAAAGAGGGAATGGCTGCCACTGGACTGGATAGACAAAGGAGCAAGTCATTGGCATGTAGAACCATTATGTGTTGTTGGCCAGGCAGGTTCATGCCCTGTATGCCGGGATGCAAGCTGTGGTGGCCAGGTGCTCCATACCCGGGATATATAATTAGGGAGAGTGTGGGCAGTCCTGGCATGCGCCATTGTTGATTGAAATCTCAGGCCATACGTTTGTCTGTCAGGCGGTAGGTCTGTGATAAATATTTTGATTGCCCCTTGCCTCACGGCCGGGTACAGAGCCGGTCTGTTCCTGGATAAGGGAGGGGATATATACTGGTCGAGTCTGTCACCTAATAGTTGTTTTTATATTTTGAGGTCCACATGGATTAAATAACGAGGCCTGTAACTAGTACAGTGCATGGGGTCTTTATTGTCCTTGGGGATTATAGTGATGTGGGCCTCTTATGGTTGTGGGGTGAATGGGCAATCGGTAAATTGCGCTGATGGTTGTCTCTAACAAGGGTGAGAGCTCCGCTGTGAATTGCATATAGACTCAGTAAGGTCTTCGGGCCCGGGGCTTTTATTACAGGGTAGGGATGTAATGGTGGCAGCAGTTTCTGCCTTAGTGAATGGGGACGAGTCTGCTCTCACCTCTTGGGGTAATGTACGGATGACATTCTGCTGGAGATCAAAGTCATCTAGTTTGCCCAACATGGAATCTAAGGCCGAGGCTGAGCTATGGTTGGGAGGTAGATGTTGGCCTGGATAAAGGATTTAGAGGAAAGCGTACCTTTTAAGAAACATCCTCCAGTAACATTGAGGACATTGGTGAGGACAAGGGGGGGCGTGTAATGGATAGTGATCACTACCACCTTCAATTCTTGGGTGGGATTGTTGATGCAGAAGGTCACAGGATAATAATGTGATGGGGAAGGTGGGGGGGGGGAATGGGGCCCCTCACTTTCCTGCCTGTGCTGAATATTCAGTGTGATGGGCCAGTAGAAGAGGGACAATACAGTTCCACAAACCCTGTGAGCTCCATCATTCCCCCATTATATCTGACCAGCTAAAATCAGAGGAGATGCCGCGGGACGCTGGATCCAGATAAAGAGAACCTGTCTGATGATGGTTGGAGGAGAGATCATTTGACACATAGAGGAAGTGCAGCTCTACATGACAAGCTGGCGGCAGGTGTGGAGGGGAAATATACAACAAGAACCTGCGCAGCAGCTGAGACTGAAGCTGACCTGTCCTGATCTAGAGATAATAATAAGAACAAAGATAACATTCAGTGCGCACTACGTCCCCCGGCGGGAGATTCTATGACACGTATTCATTCTTTCTATTGTGTCATCTGAACCAATAAAATGACAGCAGAAACCTGATTGGTTGTTAGCGGTAACACAGACTCTTCATATTTATAGAATAGAAATCAATGAGCGTGTTGTACAGACTACCTGCCCATCAGACACTTCTGTAGAAGTCCTGCAGGATGTGATGTCACAATAAAGTAGAATATAAAGTGCTGATCTCTGTGAGGTGTAACATTCATATATATGGGTTTTATAGTTTTATGTTACCAGATTCCCCTCCAGTCACCTCACCTGGGAGCTTCAGGTGTATTTTTTTCACAATAGGCTTTTTCATATCCTTGTGTGTCACAGAGCAGGAATAGGCCTTCCCATAATCCCGAGCTGTGGGTCTTATAGTCAGGGAAGAGGACAGAACGCCCTCCATGTGGCTCCTTCTCTCCTCTCCTCTCTCCGACCAGATGATCTGAGCGATGTCTTCAGGATTACAGCCGATCACATCACAGCGCAGAGTCAGAGGCTTTCCATAGTCTGGTGTTCTGGGGTCAATGGTGGTGATCTCACTGAGCAATGGGAGCCCTGCAGAGGAAGAATATGAAATATTCACATCGGTCTATGAACAGAGGAGCTTATACTCTAATGTCCCCCCGTCCCCCCCCCCACAATCACACACTATTACCGTATTATACATGTATATAGCTCTGACATATACCGCAGTGCTGTACAGAGAACACAAGTGGGTGACATGACTCCACCTGAGAACTGAAGCTGGGAGAAGTACGAGGGCCTCGCGGCCGCCTAGCTCGCCTCTGCAGCTTCAACTAACCTGCCTCTGGTCAGTCCGCCCCTGGGCTTGGAGGGAGCAGCCAATTCCTCACGGGGAGAATGATCGCCGGCAATTCCCCCGCAGCCACAGCACCGCAACCCCCCTCCCTGGATCTGTCACTGAAGAGAGAGGGAGAACCTGCGCGGCGGAACTTCAGACCCGGCATATCACTCGAGTACTGGCGGAACTACTTCCGCCACTTCACTTCATCTTTTCCTGCAGAGGAGAGTGCCCGCCCGGCGTGTCGTGAGGATGCAGAGGCTTGCGCTCCTGCAGCAGCTAGCGGTGACATACATCGGAGGAGGGCAAGGAGGATGCAGATACCGGCGGTGGGACACCGGGAGTTGACCCCTCGATCAGGAGCAGTGCCTGCATGGAGTTCAGGTCAGTGAAGCACCTTTCTTTTATTTATTTTTCTGAAGTTTTTTTTTTACATAGGAATGCATAGCTACATTCCTATTGGCTATTTCACTTTGCAATAGCCAATTGCAAACTAGCTATTGCACCTGCCCTCTGCTGATGTCAATCACTAGAAGGGGACCTGATGGAGAACTTCAGGTCCCCTCTGCTGATTGACAGCAGCAGTGGGCTGGTGCAATAGCTAGTTTGCTATTGGCTATTGCAAAGTGAAATAGCCAATAGGAATGTAGCTATGCATTCCTATGCTGATTTTTTTTTCTGACTGACGGCGGTCGGCGGCTCCAATGTCAGAAAAAAAAAAGCAGACAATAGAGCAGAAAGAGAAAGTGTTTCTCGGCCAGGCGGCGCTATCTAATAGCGGGAGACTCCCGGAGTGTCTGGGAGAGTTGGGATGTAATGACAGATCAGCGTCTGGAAGAGGAAATAATTATGTATGAGAATAAAATGATTGGCCTGAAATAAAGATCAGAGTGTTATTGGATCTGTACTTCAGAATGAACGGACTTCTTCTAGACCCGGACTATGGGGAATGTTGGAATAAACCAATGGATGGATGTTAGATTACTGAGCAGATCTGTGGAGTCTCAGACATATGACGGGAGATGGTAATGGAAGTATTGTGAAAGGTTGGAAGTGAGAGAATTCGCTGCAGAGATCATCGGGGGTCCAGGTGGCTGTGAGAAGGATTTATGGATCTTTGGGAGATGGTGGTAGTGTGGAATATTCCGGTTCTTTATAAGAAGGAATACTTTTTATTTCTAAGTCCACAATACTTCTCTGAAAAGCTCCTTCAATAAATCCACAAGAGAAGCTGTCTGTAGAATCATCTTCCACCAAGGTTCTGTCGTAGATCTCATCCTCCAGAGTCCTCCCTGCTTCTGAGATGTAGTCCGCTCTGTCTTCTATGACAATTGAAATAGTATAATACTATGGACAAATATTAAACATAGTCTGAGATCCTGGCCGGGTTCACGCATTCTTCTGATTTGTTTACCGTAATTTATTGTTATATTTTGTCTTTTAAACTTTGACATTAATAAATGTTTTTGATTTTACTGACATTTGGTCTCTATATATTGTTCATGAGTATCAGCCTTACAGCCCCGACGCACACAATTTCTGGATAGATCATTCCAGTAAATGTCTTGATGAACTTAGCGGTGTGATACTCACGGCCTACACATTGGGCTATTATCTTCCTTGTATGACAATGCCATCACCTGTATCCATACTCCTAATAGTAATGTTTTATTCTCTTTTAGTCTGTTCATTGCCGATCCTTCACCTTTGGTCAGATTGGGTATTAGCTGTTCTTTCCCAGTTTGCTAAATTCTGTCATTACTACAAATTGACGAGTAGACATAACCTTGCTCTCCATTGGGTAAGATGTAGACTGGGACTTATTCTGAATAAATGCATCTCAGCCGATAATGTCTTCTTCTGTTGGTGGTGAACATTCATCTCGGAGTGTTGGGATCCTGAGGTTAGTGTCCGGCAGTCTTGTTTGTGTGGGATCTCCGTGAGGTAAGTTTCTCTGCAACGTTCTACAAATCTATGAAAAGGTCAAAACCTTTTTTTAACCTGTTTTTTTAGGAGTGAATCTTCTTCTTTGGACAGAATGTGGGATGATGGGTTGAAGACCTTTATGGGTCTTGGGGTTTTTTGAATTGTTCAGTAACTCTTTCCTTTCCTTTTCCTCCTCACTATCCTCTCTGTCGTGTTCTCTATGGTTTCTCTCAGGACTGGAATCCCATACACCATGTTCAGTCCATTTTCCGGATGATGCAGAGGGACCCTATTGTACTATGAGTGAAGGTTCTGGTGAAAGTCCTATTGTTTGGTTTGGCCAGCGGGCTCCATGTTGCCCATGTTATAGTTTCACTTCAAAGTCACTGTGATGAATTGTGAATGTTTTTCTTCCTTGTACTCAGATTATTCTCCGTATGTACTTTCTGACTGTCTCTTGTATTTCATGGTCTGGTTTTGGATCTCTGTAATTTCCTCATCTTCTTCTTCATGAAATTCTCCAATTTGTGAGGTTTCCCAGAGATCTGTTCATCCAGGTGAGTGACATGTAACAGGTTCTCTTTATACTTCTCTAGGTTCACTTTTGTGGACAAGTTTCTTCTTATGACAATGATTCTGTCCATAGGAATGTAGTACAGAAATTGTACCAACTCTCCATATATTCACAGCACAGCCACAATGGACTACAATCTCAATACAAACTAGTAAACTAAACCTGAGATTGTAGTCCAACCTGGGGAGGGGGAGCTTGGAGCGGTGACTACAACACACACAGGGCCCATGGGGAACAGACGTAGTCACCCTCCAGAAGGAAGGACAGTGTCAGAGATGATTGGAGGATCTCCAGCCGAGTGATACAAATAAGATACATTGTTGTTCAGAGTTCGGGGATTCGGAAGGATTTTGAATATTTTAACTCCGGAGTTTAGTGTCACTTTAAAGAGGAACTCCAGGAATTATAAAGTTAACCCTTGCAGTAGGACTACCCCCACACTGCAAGGGTTGACTGCTGGTTTTTGTCTAGGGGCTGGATAAAAGAAGTTATGTTCGCCTGATCCTAGATCCCACTTGGCTGCTAGACCGATCCCCAAAGCCTCTTCTTCCCTGGGATCCAGCGGACTAAGGACCCATGACGTCATCACGTCTAATAAAGTCCATTACCCTGCATTAGATATGAAGACGCTGAGGGATATACCACAGCTGGAGTGGAGGGGGAGAGAGGTGAGTGCTGACTACTGCAGGACTGAGGATTGAGAAAGTGTATCTTCTGTATTCAAGCCCATAGAGGAAAAACAAGCAGTTACCCCTTGCTGTGCGGGGGGGGGGGGGGGGGGGTTTATAATATTAAAAAAAAGGGGGGGGTGTTCTTAAATTGTGATTTTATTGCAGCCTCAACTTCCCAGAACATTACAGTCAGTCAGTACTCTGTATACATCTTCTACCATCATCTAGAAGGAAAGTGAAGCTCTGATTACCTTTCAGGTGGAGGGGATATTCTTTTGTAAAGACCTTTCCACTATGAATGATGTCCAGACGGATCACATCTCCATGACAGTCAGATGTCGGGATGAGTGTCAGCTCTGTGGTTCCAGAGAAGATTTTGGACTCCTTGTCATCCTGGATGTTCGTTTCCCATCCCCCAAGTTTGTTTATTCCCTGATACCACTGAATGGCGGGATCTCCAGGATACATATTATCGATCGCACAGGATAATGTCACCGGCTTCTCAGGCTCAGGAGTTTCAGGGACACTCCGTATGTCACCCAGAACGGGCGCAGAGACTGCAATATAGAGGACAGCAGAGTTATACACAGTCACATGTCATGAATTGTACAGGACACATAGCAGAATGGAGGTGGTGGGACCTTCCTGTCCCTACACCCACACTCCATGAAGAGGTAAGTGTCCCCCATCTTATCACATAGTAAGAGAATTGTCTGCCACTCACCTATGTGTGTCAGAGTCAGAATGACGTGTTTAGGATTCGATAGACTGTCATGCTGAACCTCACATCGGACGTTCTTCCCCAAATCCTCCATTGTTGGGGTGTAACTGGAAGTACTGGAGACATGACACAGGTGGCCATATTCCTGGAGGGGATCAGTGGTCTGTGATGGTATTATGACGTCATCCTCCGTGTACCATGTGACTTGTATGTCCCGAGGATAAAACGAATGAATCCTACAGGACAGATCCAGCTTCTCACCGACATGAACAACGTCCTGAACCTTCTGTATGGGGTCCAGCACCGGAACCGCTGAAATGACAGAGTTCAGGCAGACTTATGGTCATTGTTTGTATACATTTCCCTGATAGAAGAAGATTACTATGAGAAAGCCCTAGCATAGCGACCTCTGGAATAATAGGGGACGTGTGCTGCTCAGGGGCCCAAACAACAATGTATAGGGACGCGGGCTCTCATATATTCTAAGTTATCTGTTTAATACAGGGCAATGGCAGAGAGCGAAGGATCAATATGATTCATCAAGTTTGTGCTGATCAATAGTTCTTCGGCACAGTGATCCCAGTCTGGGTACATACAGTGTGTAATATATATGTATGTATGTATGTATGTATGTATGTATGTATGTATGTAGTGCCCCTATGCTGTGTCGCTGGTACATTTAGTGTTATATTTCTGGACTGTAGTCAGTCTGGATGCTGATTGTTTTGGGTTCTGCCGGCTTTCCCCAAGTTTGGTGGATTGAGTGTTTCGCCTGTTGCTGGGATGGGTTCCAGCATAAAGTGTGGTAGGATCAATCACCAGATTATGAATATGCATCTGACTCTGTAATATACTCACCTCTCCTTCGTTCGGGTTCAGAACGCAATGCCGCCTCCCCACCCGTCGTCTCCTGCGGCGTCACTCCTCCCTAAGCGGCTTAAGCCAGGAAATTCAATCGTCCGGTGTTCAAGCAATCTGCTGACGTGTCAGAGACCACTCTCCATCATGATAGCTACTTCCTAACACGCTCTCCCTGTGGATATCTGAACTCTAGTAACTATTCTTTATATCTGAACTCCTCCCTGGTTTCCACTCTGCATCCTGGACCTTAGGCATGGACCCTCTCCATCCTAGCACTGGGTCCAAAAGGCTCGCTCATCTCAACTTGTTATCGGCCATATTTGAACACTGTGTGGACTCTGGTTGTGCATTACCAGCTGCCGACTGACTCTGCTATGAGCCGCCAGTACTTCAGTTTTGTGTTGTTCCTTCTTGTTACATTTGTGACTTCTTAGTTATTGAAGTGGCGATAACTTCAATAATAATGTTACTCTTATAACTTCCAGCCGGGTGACAGGGCATGCTGATACCACAAACGGAACGCATGTTCTATTTCTCTTACCTGCCACATTAAGCTGTAGATCTGATCCACGTCCCTCAACCTTCAAGGGGTCTGTTTGTGTTGGTATTTATACATGGGTGGTATACGAAGTAATATAACCTCCCAGAAAACACACTCTGGACTATTAACTCTTCATTCATTAACTAGCAGTTACACCCGCAGCTGTGATCCTAATAACTAGTTCTGCTATTGGTCTGTAGGGTTACAGACTCTGACCAATCCCTGAGCAGGCTCACTCACAGGTATGCCTGGGGGAAGGTGATAAATATTTGGGAACACATTTCTAGAACTCACCCCTGGGGCTTCTCCCTGGGCGGAGGTCTGCGTGCTGCAAGATGCCTGGCCTGGGCCTCAACATGTGGAAGGTGCTGGGAGACCAGAGGCCTAAAATGTTACTGAGAAGAAACAAGATGGAAGCTGGGCTGGAGGAAGGATCTCCTTACTGAGGAGAGGTTCCTCACCCTAGACTCCGGTACTATACAGAGGAGAAGAAACCAGTTGGTGCACTACAAGTCCTGTGACTGATCTCTGCTGCTACAATCTGTTCTGATCGCTCTCATAGGCCTGTTGCTAATACTGAAGACACTGTCCTCCATTTTTATTCTTCAGTTATCCTGTTATCCTACCGCCCACACTCCTCTCCTGTACATACTGCCCCCCATAATACCCTCCACACTCCTCTCCTGTACATACTGCCCCCTGTCATATCCCCCACACTCCTCTCCTGTACATACTGCCCCC